GCATTTTTTGTATATTTTGCTTCCAGGCTTATCCGCATCAGCTGGTTTGGTCGCTTACATCCCCATTACCATAGGTTCTCAGACGCACAGCAGTTTATCTCGGACGTGTAGTATCCCGCAGCGACTGTCTGGAAGTATTAAATCTGGATAAGCCCACAAACTTTTTAAATCTGCAGATATGTTAACTCGTTAATCGCAACATTCAGTGGATGAAAACGGCCTTTCAGATACTGAAACTAATTCTCTGTCTTATGAATGACTTACCTAATGGCAAATAGACGTCACTCCGAAATGTGGTTCAACTGAAGGATGTTTACCAAGCTACCTTAAGTAGATCTACGAAAATAGTATTCTGAAAGGAGGTTCCAAAATACCTACTGAATGTGGTCCCTTCGGAATGGTAGAACTGTGTCCTTTTATTCTCACCAGCTAGGTACCTTCCATAACACAGTTCTTATCCGTCAATACTTGGGTACCTTAGAAAAGTCACATTCCGTGTTGCTCAGTAAATTGGTCTATCCGAAATAATAGTCGGAAAATTGCGAACGGTTTAGCTAACTCACTCGACAGGCATCTTGAAAGAGCCGTGTGAATCTGAATGCAATATTGATCCAAGGCTCTCAACAACAGCTGCAATCCAACTGAAAGCCTCATTTTTTCAACACGCCAATGCACCCTGACTGTGGAGCTTACGTTATCTGATTTTTCGAGGAACTTCGCTGCTGCGACCACTTGGAACGAATACAGTATACCGATGGGTTGGGGCATGCCGTTTGCGTTTCGAATTTTCAACGAAGATGCGATATCACTGTGCCAAAAACTTCTCTGCTTCAGAATTGTAGCTTCTAGCGTCCACGGTGTCACTCTTCGGCCTACATGAACCTTTTGTGGGTCATCATTTCAACCTCCTTAGTTGTTCTTGTGGTCTTTTTTAAATGCTTCAATAATAGTTTACGTATTGGAGAGTGAATCAACGTAGAGCTTTCAGAGCAACCATCGAATAGTGACCACTCCATAAAATTCCCAATCATAATCACTTGTATTCTCACCTTTCTGACAGGAAAAGCCACGTCAGCCTTACGCCAAGTCACCACTCACCTGAAATCAGGTGAATGGCATATCTAAATGCGGTTTCCTTCATGGATAAGTGACGGATTACATGTTTTGCCACGTCACCTCTTTTGTATTAACTAGTTTCTACTTGTCTGCCGACGAAGGCTGTAAACAACTGTGCATTTTCCAAGGGAACCCACTGATTTGGGTATCCACTCTGCACTGCGGCTCAACACTTGAACTTTAATATGATTCAGAACAGGTGGTTCGTTTGTCTGCTGACTCGTATTCGTGCCAATCAAGCCGTCAGGGATCCATTGACCACACTAGATTTCTGAATACCTTCCTAACTGACACGACGAAAACGGCAGATTTTCGTAAATCAGAGCCTGGCTTTGGTTCTTTCCGGTTCCCTCTCATGACGATGCTCGGCAACCAAACAGCTACCTTCAGTGTCTCACATGCCAGCTTTCAAGGGCGCGCACAGGCCCATGCAAGTCATCCGAATTTACAGCACCCTATGATGTTAGGTGGAACTGTCCGCGTTCTCATTACACTTGCATGGTTTAAATGGTACTTCACAACCTAGTAGTTCACCCCTACTCCTCACACCTCTTGGCTATCTATCAGCAAACTGATGTTATGGACTGATACGTCTTTCTGTGCAGTTGAATGAGTTCCGATGGAATGTAAAAAAAAACGGAATCACTTCCGGAACCAGAAAGGCCAGACTGTTTTATGTCGATTCGCGCAAACTGTTGCACCATTTGATGTCGGTTTGTCCTTCCACAAGCTACGATCCCGCTTATGTCACAGTCTTTCTGACGAAGACTAGGACTCACTCGAGCGTCCAAATGTAATCTCCTATGTTCTCTTTTAGTTTTGTACTTCTGGACTTGGGTTACAAGGAGATGGGAGTGGCCAGGACGAACGAATCGATGAAAATTTGTGTCGCGTTTCCAATGACTACCGGTTGCTGGTCCCGGTAGCCTTTAAATTTATTGCTTCGGAGCCAAAGACGTAATAATCTGTTTACAAATCTCTAAAGAATAAGCAGTAGACATAAGAGGTTGGCTAGCAGTTTGTTTGCACAGGAGCGAAAATGCAAAAGCTGATGACTTTTGTGCGGTAGTGGCATCATTCTTGTAAATAATTTCCTGGTAACAGAGCTAAGCTAATAACTACTACTGTACAGCTTTTTTTGTTAGTCCTGTGATTTGTAACCCTTATAATATGTAACGGAAATTCCCATGTAGGTGAAGATCACACCGAGGCAGTTGCTTCATGTTGTTGCTTGCTTGTGTCGGGGAGGGGGGGGGGCGAGATGACCCAAGTGGTTAGAGCGCGAATTTGCTGATCGGAAGGTCTGTGGTTCGAACCCGACCTCTGCCTCTCGATTTCCCCTGTCTATGCTTGGGCAACCTGGCAGTATCCTAGCCCTCGTGCTTCCCCCGGGTGTAATGGCAGTTGGGCACCGTAAGGGTGCAACAGCTGAACGACGATTTGCTTGTGTCAGTGAGAGGTTAGGTAATACTTTTAAAGTTAACCCCAAAAAAGACTACTTTGGGGAAATTGGGACAAACTTGAGAAATTCTGTACTATGTCATGGTTGAGAGAGGGTGTACTTCAAGGGCTCTTCAGCAGAGTATTGTTTCTTCATAGGAATTCCTCTTCGGGATCGAACCGTTATCTTCACTCGCCGTTATTTTAATAAATCAAACTTGTTGAAAGAGTTTAATTATCTATATGTGATCAGCCGATCGGCTAATTGTGATTTCCCAGATTGCATCTTCGAATCTGCTCCGATTACAAGGAACCTCTTAATAGCGTACACCCATTGCGAGAAACAGTGTGTCTCTAATTTCAAAGTGTCTGTCCACCAAGATTTTTCCAGACATAGCTCGAAATAAAATTAGTTTCCAGTGCCTGCAGCTACCATTCAAAACGAAAGCAGATCATCTTCAAGTTTTCATTCTTCCGCGTCCCCTGCGTCCATGATGGCTGACCGAAATGAAAAAAAAGACGGTGATTCCTCTTATGAATGCGGTCCTTGTTCTCTACATCAGGTAACGAATATCCTAATACAAAGGGTTTCAAAACTCAGGAAGATGGCCCCTGGCTTCGGCTTTGTGTAGCGAGCATGTCTTCGCTCACAAACGTTTGGTGGGATTAAACCTTATTTACGAAACAGTGTATTTCGGTTTTTATCTGTGGGCACGTTCACACACAGGCATGTCTTCATTAAGCCAATAATCGCCTGCCGAAACAAGTCTTGGTTTAGCGTCCTGACAACACCGGCCTGAGACAAGCTGTCGATTTGGAGCGTGAGAAATCTTCACCGTTGGAACTGTCCTCGCGAATTGTTACCAAAGCACAACACTACCCCGATCTGAGGATCTGAACTTATTCCCCCCTACACACCAGTTGGGACCCAGTTCATCCCTCTGCGGGATTAATTATCTCCTTAAGTCGTAATCGGTGTCCCTATTTTCAGTAGGAATTTCAACAATAGACTTTGGGGGGATTCAGAAATGCCCCAGAATTCAGAGTATCCCAATGTATCCAAACTTTGATGGGGCTGAGGCCTGGTGAGTTCTGCGGTTGTATCGAAGACCCTCCAAGAATCAGTGATACAACCCGTCCCTACAAGCTTTCTTCCCTGTACCCGGTGCATATCGGAAGTCTTGTCCATCAGAACTTTTGTTGGTGTTATATACCTGATTTGGACCTTTCCTAGTTTTTAGAGATGCCCCAAGTGGTTAGAGCGCGAATTTACTGACCGGAAGGTCCGTGGTTCGAATCCGACCTCCGCCACTCGACTTACCCTGTCTAGGCTTGGGCAACCTGGCAGTATCCTAGCCCTCGTGCTTCCTTCGGGTGGCATGGCAGCTAGGCACCGGAAGGGTGCTACAGCTGAACGCTTTTAGTTTTTAGATTGTTATTCCCGTAAGCAAAAGACCGCCGAATACAAGAACTGTTCCGTGTGTTTCAACGATAATCATTAAGGTTATCAGACGCGCTTCTCACTCTCTGTACTCCTCGGCTAATTGACTATAGTCCATAAATTGATTTGAATTTTCACTAGAAGTGTTGGTAAGGCGTGAACTGCTTAGAAATCACCCTACTTTTCTATGATCGTATATGGGACGTCGTGTGCCAGGCTTATGTATCTCGGGGGTAGTGATGGATGATTTGTGCCTTTCTTAATAGATGTTTTCTCTAGGAACTCAGAGAAGTTCTGATGACGGTATCTTGTTAGCGTACTGACTTCCTGATACACTATTTGATGGGATATCTGAATCAGAATTCAGCAACGGTCAGTATTCATTTCGATTTTACACTTCTAATCACACAGTTAAAATTTGATAACATAGGGGATGATTCCTTTGTGCTTAGTTGACTCTTGTTTGCCACAAATTAGTGCATACAGTACCGAATGTATGCGTGTGTGGAGCGGATAATATTGGCCACGTTACTGCCAGTTTCATAGCCTCTGGTGTTGTAAAATCGACAACTTTATGTGCAATTCTGCACGCAGCAGCGATGAGACAAACGATGTGTTCTTCACTGTGCTACCTTTTCGTTGTTGTATTTGTTTTCCTTGGATGACTGTGCATTACAACAATGCAAGGTCTGCAACTTATCTTGTTTCAGCATAAGGGATGGATTCCAGCTGCGCAGACTTGGCATTAATGATGTCTGTCTGGTTTTCTCAGTGTACAGAGAAATCACTATGATTTTTAAGTCAGTTACCCATACACCACTTAATCCCATCCATGTGACCGCTGGTCTAATTNGCTGCGCAGACTTGGCATTAATGATGTCTGTCTGGTTTTCTCAGTGTACAGAGAAATCACTATGATTTTTAAGTCAGTTACCCATACACCACTTAATCCCATCCATGTGACCGCTTGGTCTAATTAGCTAAACGTTTTATCTTTCCCTAGTTCTCACAGGCCAGATGGTCAAGAGTGAAAGATCATCCATACCATGCCTCCAATCACTGGAAAAGCAACACCAAGATCCCTCCAAACAAACTGTTCTGAGTTTACACACAAAACTTCAATCAGACGATTTACGAGACGAGCTTTCCACAGCATTATCCGAGTATAAACATGTGAGTACAGTCGCCAGATGCTCACATAATTTTTGGCACTTTCATCTGCACTGTTACAACATGCACTGTGAATTTCAAATTTTAGGTTACGAATTTAAACTTACTCGGATTTAATTTTTCTCTTTAAGATTTACCCTATACCCCTATTTGTGGTACGGTTTATCATGTTCATCGTCACAACTGAAATCAACACCAGTATAAGAACACTAGTACCTAAATGATGCACGACTGTGTTGCTCTGTCTCAGTGTACCGGGGTAGCAGAAATCAAAACGGAGTGAGAAAGAAAGAGGAACATTGAGTGGAACCACCACCACCATCACATACACTCAAGTCGCCAACAACTTCGACACTCAAGGAGATAGTCTAGATAGGACTTGACAGCAAGATCGCCATAGGTAGCGGTTGGCAATGTGTCTGGCAAGGCAGAAGGACGGTGACTTAGACGTCATCCGAAAATATCGTTACTCTTTCCGATAGTCTCTATTCCTTCGTGTGCCACGAATTCCTACTTATTCATATTTTCCCGTCACATTTTAAATTTGGCATGGAAAACAATGCGCTCCCTAAAGCACGAAAATTTGACAGACGTAGCGTATGTCTGAGCCACCGCAACTTATAGTGCTGTGTGCATTTCACAAGTGACTCATCAAACGTCTGCTTTCTGATCAACTTATTGTGAATTCGGTGGGTTCTAGTCTGTTTCACTCATAGAACTGATACATTGACGCTAGTGTCTGGAAATAGAACAAAGAACATCATCCAACGACTTTTCCGCCTTCTGAATCCGTGCGCTCAACTACGTATTGTATGAATTTCAATGCGCAAAAATGTGGGATTCTGGTGCGCACCAAGAGGGTGTGCATGCGACCCCCGTCTTCATGTGCATGGACAACCCTCTAGGCACTTCTTCACTAACGAAAAATGTTTATCATCATGTTAAATTTCTGGTTTGTTCTGTAATCTCAGGGATAACCGGGTGTCTCCGCTATCCCAATGCTCATAGCACTTCTTGTAGACACGTTGCTTTCCTTAATTATGCAGGTAACGCTGTTCTTTACCTGAGAGAGGAGCAGGTGTAAGTGGCTTTATAATTTCCGGTCGAAATACCCGCCTTTCTGTTCTCGGGCATTTGTAAATCGAGCGAGTTTTGTCTTGAGCACGCCCTTTATGCCCATGGAGAGCGCCTCAACTGCTTTCCTAAGTGCGTGACTGTGCGCGAAACCCGGGGACGGAATAGTGCTGCTGCTGGACATTCGTGAGACCTTGCAGACAAATCCGACCATAGTTTAGGTCATTTCGTTATGTTAAAAAAGGTCCTTGGCATCTGAAGAACCTCGACAAGTATGTATTGCATCTTTTGATACCCATGGAGTTGTGAAGAATTGGGCTAGATGCCTTGTTTTGACTGCCAAAGTTTATCCGGATCCTTGTAAAATGGCTTGATTTTGCCCCCGGAATTCCAGAAAGCTTTGGCTTTCGTAACTTGTTTTATTCCGTCTTCACTACTTTTTCTGCAGCAGTCACACATCATGTTGCTACTGGTGTTCCGCGTTTCGGTGCGTTAAAAGGACCATGTCCCAAGTCTTATCTCAATTGATTCCTGATTTTAATGACCCACGACCGATACTGAGTTGTCTCGTATTAAGCACAACTCTAAGTGTACGCTTTTTTCTCTTCGTTACAAGCCACGTGGAGAAGCATTGTGCAACACACAAAAACAGCCATTCTTAGCGATCGACTGACCATCGGAATTCACTTTTCTTGTGAAAACGGGTCGTATCTATAGAAACTATTTCCTCAGAACCTCTATGTAAGAATGGCAACGTTGAAAATATAGAGCGCCGTGTATCTTCGGACGGGCAAGTTGGCTCGAATTCCGGACACCTTCAGTCTATAGGAAACTGTCCCTGTGAGATTGGACAGCTTGGTTCCATTCCGTGCAATTCTGACAGTAAACCAAAAAAGTTTTTTGACACCATGTTATATGGGCCCAACCGGCTTGTTTTCAATTGAGCTCACGACTCCACTACCATCACCGTGATGGTAAGGGTTAGCTAGACTGGAACTGTTGGGTACTTTCGAAACGTCTTTCGGATGTCACGAGGACAAGTATGTTTCGTTTTGCCCCTAAGTGAATGTCCGAGAGGATGTAAGGATTCCTCAATAGGTTTGTTATTCGTGTTACATAATGCAGTACGTGTCCGCGTTACACAGACTAGTCTGGGGAAGAAGGAACGAAAAAAAAACAATTTAACGGACACAGGTGGCAATGTATTTGACTTTTGATGGCCAAGAAAGTCAGGTACATGACACTACACTCAGGGAATAACTAGTCTAGTTAACGTTCAGCCTCGTGGCAGCCGAATGCTACTCCTACAATCACTTAGTCAATTTTCCATTAAGTGTAAATGGTGTGCACAAAATGTCTCTTCTCTGGTCTCGGTAACCCCTTGACACAAAGATCAAGTATACCTTACCGATGATTGATGCGAACCTAACCTGTGCTTGACATTTCCCGATCGCAACATCACCCCTCCGCTTTGGTATAAGCTGTTTATCTGAGGCAGTGCCTCCGGAAATGCTCTGGAGGCGACGTTCAGAATTGACCAACTCACCCGTATAATTAGTTTGAAACAATATGATACTCTGCAAGGAATGCTCATCTAAGGAATACCTTGATTTTTTTAGCTTCGCATTTTTTCACTTAATGCAAACACATAGAAAGCCCCGTCTAGAACAAACACCTGAGGACGCAATTTTGGTGCTTCAAATCCTCAGTCCTTCGTGCTGGCGATATGTTGAAGCAGTCGAACACGTGGTAATTTGCCTCTGTAGAGCACTCAAGAACATCCCGGTAGGATGGTACATCTGGTCCGTCTCGTTTGGTGTCATCCGTTTAGAAAAAATATGCCAGGTTTCACTGATGTGTAACGGATCGAGAAGCAATATATTCAGGCCTCAAGCACTCAGGGGAAAATAGCTGTGCAGAAACACCCCCCACTGATCTGTAATCTTGGGCATTATTGGAGCTGACAAATCTGTACACAGGCTAATTTACTGTGTGATCGACGTCAGTCGGTCGTAGCTTTCAGATTGGCGGACTATCATAATACGAGTGATTCGGTGTGAGATAGTAAATTAAACAGCAGGGGATAGCAGCTTGACCTACCATGACTGAGTACCATATGCACAAAGTACACTTTTGATCATGCTGTCGACCGGAAGATCTCCCCAGTTGGGTAAAATAGTAATAAGTCGCTCCAATTTGCCCCCCAAAATGAGCACTTCTCACTCTGACCGGGGCTTATCGGAGGAAACGGGGGACACTGTATTCCCTTTTCATTGAGACTGTCTTCGATGTCTCACCGTCTTGACATGGTACATTAGTGCTGTCGATAAACGGCTATCATTTACCATCGAGAAGAGTGATAATCAGTATCTGCTGAATTTGTCGCAATGTCACGGGCAGTGCATTCGACATATTGAAGAATTTTTATAAATCCTTAGATTTCACTGTTTGTTCCCACTGTTTCGTTATAGTGAGTATTGCATTGACTGTTTGCTTCATTGCGTCTGACAGGAACTGTGATGAGGGATGAGCCGGTAGTTTTTTAACTCAATTGCAAAGGGCTTCGAACCGACCAGGATATTGCGTTGCTCATGTGCAAGTTCATCATTAGTTCCGAGGTGTGATTTATCTGAGCTAAATTTATGTTTGCGAAGGCGTATTTTGCAGAAATGCTGTGACCACTCACTGATTATGTATGTCCGTCTGTTCACAGTCTGCACCTTTGACTCTTTCGATTTGTCTGCAGTTTACTGAAGCACACCGAACTGTGTCATGGACTTTGGTCTCTTTGGCTGCACCTATCGCGTTCACCCAAAATAACTTGCTTGCAGTCCGAGAGTGTTCCTATCTCGGGAGTAAAGTTAGTTATATAAATCACAAAAATCTATCCAGGGATAAGAATACCAGTCATGTTGTTCAGATGGAATCCAAGATTAGGTGACTTTTTGGCCGCCGTTCGCTGGTGTGTCGTGTCATTTTACAACGTGCTAATCTGTCGTTATATGCTGTCGGAGCAGTTTTTCACGAAAACAGACGCTCTGGAGCTATTGCATTACATCTTTCCAGTTGTTAACTTCTGCGTCTCCGATGTGTTGGGGTTTATCATGAATGACTGGCCATATCGAAAGCTGTTGATACGTATTAGTTGTTGTAGCCACTCTTCCTTTTTGGTTTGACTTTTCTAGCAACATGTTTGCTTGTGGTATTTCCAGACATATCACTAGCGCCCCACAATCTCAACAGCGTTATCGATCAAATTGCCGCTGACTAATCACTTGCAGGGTGACCGCAGCCGCATAAATTACGAAATCCCCGGTACGACTATCCGACGATTCGGATACTAGCTTCGTGTGCTTACTACGATGGTCATAAAGTCCTCCCGATTAACTATTTAGGCTGATCCGACGTAGATGACTATATATTGACCGTATTTACGGTTTCAAGGATGCCCTTATCTGACCAATAGACATACGGTCACTCGTAATGTTTTATCAAAGTGAGCATGGACTAGTTGAACCCTTAGCTTGCTTGTCCGTCAGTATTCAGGTTTTGTGGCTTGATTACCCGAAACATACTGGGACTCGAGGCCCGAATTCTCCCGTAACAATCCGGCGATGAACATGTCAAATCCTTACATGCCGATTGTCCTCATTTATGAGATGGTGAGTGGATAGCTAATTCAATCCTTAGGGTTTGTGTGATGGCCGTGTTGAAATTATATCGCAAGTGGACGATTTGCTCCGTTTTTTGAATCTTATCCAGCGAAGATAATTTATTCATCACAGCTGAAGGTCTATAGCGGACTTACTGCTGGCCAGCAATCACCTTCTGTCGCTTTCAGAAGGTGATGGTTTTCAGGGAGCATACACGAGTCAAAGCTGAAATCCTAATGAAGTAGTGATCCCTAACATTCCCTCCACTCTAAGCGT